TCCCCAAACCCCAAAACCCCAAAACCCCAAAACCCCAAAACCCCATGGATGAAAAATATTCTCAATTCTTGATATTATCAGAATCATAATACTTATCAATAATTAATATAAATTTGGAAAGACTGATTTTAAATTTGAGAAGAGTATTAGCTCTCTCAAGGTTTGTCATAGCTAGTGGGAATACTTATCCTTCTTTTTTCTAGAAGCATTATTTAAGTGTCCCTCTATGATGTACAACACATGTCATAGCAGTTAGCTATATTTGATATCAAGAATCCTCTTCTTCTATTAAACGTTTCAGAGGATGTTTATGAAGAAGATTTAATGGCATTAGAATCAGTTTATGATTATTGACCATTTGCTAATTACTTATTTTGGTGGGTGGAGGGTCTTCTGTTTGAGAATCTCTCACTGGTAGTTTGATTTGTCAATAAGTTTTTGGTTTAGACAAACCCTAGTACTCTATAAAAGACAAATTTAGTAAATTTATGCTTACATCAATGGGAATAAAAAGAAGAGTCCAAGTCCAACCATAAAAAGGGCTAGACTAAGAATTATTTCTTAATTATAATCGTCTATAACATCTTAGATAAATTCTCTAAATTCGTAGTTACCAAATGGAATTAGAGGGTCCTCATGCATATACTCGCCTTAAAAGATTCCATGCCAAATGACTATCAGATTCAAGTAAATGGTAGCGAAAATGTAAGCAGTTGTAAAAACTACATACATGTAAAAATAAGCATGGTTATTAACACCAATGCAATTATTAATCCAAGGGCAGTGATGATCAAATCTATCTACACAGCGATTGCAAATATTGCAATGCCTACTTCTATCTGTTCTTATAACTTCGCAATCAGGACAGAGGTAATGATGTTGAATTTTCTCGATAGTAGTTGAGAAATTGATAGATTTGTCTTACTTCAGATAACCAGGATCTCTCTGCCAAGAAATCAGAAAGAAAAATAACTAAAGTCCAAAAAGTATATGAATTGCTTTGTCCAACGTGTAAGGCATATGAATTTCAATATTGAAGTAAAGCCAACTAACAGCGTAGCTGAATAAAATTAGAAATAGGTACATAATCACTGTTGCTCTACTTTTTTTAATTCTTTTTAAAGGAGTTTTCACCATAAAGCATTAACAATTGTTTTTCTCTTCTAAGAATGAGATTATCTGGTCTCTAAATTCTGGATCTCTTATTTCTTTTGCTATAGTAAGAGGAGTTCTACCAAGTTTATCTTCTTGATTTCTATTTGCTCCTTTTACTAACAAATGCCTAATCGCTCTGGTGCTCTTAGTATCGTCTGCTTGTTTAATTGCAAGGTGAAGTGGTGTTAATCCGTTTTAATCTTAAGCATTCACATCAGCATTCCAAGCTAACAGAAAAGAAATTGAAGCATCAGCTCTAAAAAATTTAAAGAAAAAGATGATTACCCTGAGAAACAAGCCCAATGTAGAGGTGTGCTATATTTACTATCCCTACTATCAATATCAATACCTTTGATCTTGTAAAAAGCTAAAGCTGCAGGTTGATCTCCTTAAGCTGAAACATGAAGCATGTTAATTCTATGCTTATTGACAGCTTGGTCACTTGCTCCGTTATCGATTAAAAATCTAATTAATGGCATATTTCCATAATAGGAAGCGAAATGCAGAGCAGTGAAACCCTCCTCACTTTAAGTCTGAAGACCAATCCATCCTTATAATAGTTTTTTACGATCATCTCTGTTAGGAATTAAAGAATGATTAAGTATCTAAAATAAGTTTTTTAAAATTAGCTTAAAGCTTACATGGTCACACAAGATTTTTACTGATTTTAGAGAATCTTTGTAGGTCGCCAAATGTAGTAGGGTATAACCTTATCCATCGAATAGTTTAGTTATATTAATTGCTGGATTATCTTTTAAAAACTCGTTTAATTACTCATGCTTGTTATTTGTCACTAACTTAAAAAGATATCTTTCCTCATCTGAGAAACTATGTTGGCTCTCATTCAAGTCCTCAAATCTTATGAGAGTCTCTTTATTCCCTGAACCTTTATTCGTTTGATAAACATCTTAGTTAATGTCTTCTACGACCAAATTACGATTTATGTTCTTAGATTCAAATTGCATATCAGAATTTTGAGAATCAAAATTATGAGGATCAATTACATTCTAAAGATCTCTTCTCTTTTATTAAGGAGCTCCTGGGTTAGTTTTATACTAATCAGATAATTTTTTGCGGGATACACCTTTTTGTTAAGTAAACTGGTCACCTACTTATTCATAATTAGTTTAGTCAGATTGTCTAAATTATGGAGACTTAAGAGCCTGATTTTAATCTTATGGGTTCGTTGACTAACCAAACACTAGCAGTGAGTTTTAGTTTAGTGCAGAAAAATTGTAGTCTAAAATAGCAAGTAATTAAAAGTTCTTTATCAAATTATGAAATATACTTTATTCTTGTTTAGGCAGCAGCTGCTCCTTAAGAAAGTGACTTGGGTCATCATCTTTTTCTACCATTGAATCAATTATTTATAATCTTGATATTCTATCTTACTCTATCAATTAGATAGATTCATGGGGTTTTGGGGTTTTGGGGTTTTGGGG